ATATTAAGCAGTGAAGTCAATTACCACTGGGACAACTTGCCTAAGGATATTTTTAAATCAATACTGGCTCTGTTTTTAGAAGGCAGGATAGAGCTCAAATAAAAGTTATTGGCTCAATGCCAAAATCATTGTGCCAGATTGTTTGGCTTGTGTTATGCAAGAGATCACATTAGACCATAACAATCTTATAGCAGTGATGAATTTGCACCATGATTTTATCTATATCACATAACAAATGTGTTCGGATTACCAGTTCCTTCTGGCCTTCAATTGTACACGTGAAATCCTGACCCCAATGAACGGCAAAAATGTCATCAACTTCAGTGGAGTCAGTATTTCACCCTTTTGAATCTACATTGAGATCCAGTTCTGCTGAAGACACAAGTTATCTGGGATAAGCCATGTCATCCTCTCCCTCCAACGAACCATTTTCCTTTCATTTGTATTTTGCCATGGCTGTCTAAGGGCCAGATACTTCAGTCTTTGAGATTAGTTGCTGTTAAGTTGTCCCAAATTCACTGAAGTAAGTGGAGCTGTATTGATTTGTACCAGCTGAGAATCTGACCCGCTGGAATCAATGGCAAAACTCCATCCGTCTTCAAGGATGCAGGTTAAGACCAATAAGCACAGAGCAGGTGACATGCCTTATTCTCTTTTTGTACAGTATAGTGCAAATATATGGTTTTGTACAAATGACTTTTAATAATCATGCAAAAAAGCATATCCAATATTTATTCTATTGTGCAGCTTGCTCATATCCTAAAAATATGTATTGACTTAGTTCACAGCTTTTAAAATGTAACACAAGCTATGAAATCTCCCTTGTTTTACCCCACAGAACTGTCTAGTATCCCAAGGATAATGACTGCCACTTCTTTTAATTGCATCCTGATGAGTGGATTTAACAGAATTTAAGAAATTACAATTAATGAGCTTCTTATGTGAGAGATGATACATCTGCATGTAGGAGACTGAAGGAACACTCTGCAAAATGCAGCCTTTCTCGTTTTATGCTTAACCAAGGGAGTTAACAGATTTGTAGAACCTGGGCAAGGGGTGTGTGTGTGTGTGTGTGTGTGTGTGTGTGTGCGTGT